CCAAGATTTCGGACAAAGAAAAGATTAACATATTACATTTGAATACAATTTGGTTATATGACCAACATGATTGGTCAATTCTTTCTGCATCCGAAGTTTCGGACCAATTTCTAGCATTGTGGTGAACCCAAGACTTTAGCCAGAATAGATCTCTTGCCATATTGGCTGCGATGCTGGCACTGTATCGCAGTCAATATGAGGGCAAGATTCTAATCCAGCTAAGAATCTAGCAAGAAACTGTTTTCAACGAAATCGGGAAATTTCGCCAGTGAAGCTTTGCTGAAATTATACTCTGAGAGAACCCTGAAAGAACCAATACCTTGAATAAACTTCAATATTTGCTCATACTGCTCCTTGGCTTGTGCTTCTTTAACCAAGTCGATCTTATTTTGCAAGATGACTATGTGCTTAAGTTTCATAATTTCAATAGCTGCCAAGTGTTCCGACGTTTGAGGCTGAGGGCATGATTCATTACCAGCTACAATTCAATAGAATCATAACTTCGAAATGTTTATTACTTTGAAAAAAGACAAAACAATGCCTTATGATCAACATCAACAAATATATCGTTTACCGATTAAAAGCAAAGCGGCATCCATAACAGCTGCTCCGTTAAGCATAGTCGCCATAAGAATATCGTGTCCAGGACAATCGACAAAGGAGACATGTCGAACCAATTGAAATCTCCCTGAACAAACAGAACGCATGCAAGGAAAAGAATCATCTTTGCTGGATCCACCGGATATGTAGCGTCCAGGTCGAGGACATTTTGGATTTTCACATTCATAAATCTTCGCATTTGCGTATCCTGAAATGAAGAAGAGCAATCAGATAACTTGCCCTTCTTTTTTCTTCAGCTGAGGATTATTTCTTTTCGAAAAGGGTTTAACAAGCGCTGTATAATGTTCAAATTCCTTTTCAGCGTGAATTCGTAAGAATTTTAATTTTAATAACTATATGTATATTATAGACATAAAAATATATTTGTTAGATGATGTTCAATCCACGTATCTAATTGCTTGTGGTCTATATTTATCAGACAACTTACTTTATCATTATAAAAATTTTGTATGAAGTAACTATATGCATTATATGTTATTAAAATGTCATCAAAATAATGTATGACAATTTCATGCTATGGGAAAATAAACTATGGAAAATAAACATGTCATGGAATTTTTTTGATAATAGAATTTTACTTGAGAAGAGATAAACAAGATGAATCATAATTCATCTCGTAAAAAATTTCATTTTTAGTTCATCCATCCACATAACAACGTGCACACGAATCAATCTTACAGGAATTTTACTCTTTCTTAGCTATAACTATTTTTTTGATCTCTTATAATACCGACTTACATAAATAGTGCCATAAGCTCATCGACATATATATAAATAGTGCCATAAGCTCATCGACATATATATAAATAGTGCCATAAGCTCATCGACATATATATAAATAGTGCCATAAGCTCATCGACATATATATAAATAGTGCAATTTTTTATCTAAAAGACGTAAGAAAATATTCACCGATTGAGATACTTTGTACAGAGAATACGACGATAGAGTGGCACATGTATACGGTCCCAAGACAGAGTCCCGATTATAAGATAACAATATACATCTTAAAAATAAATCTTAATTTTAACATATGTTTCTGTCGACTCTTTACGTTCCGACGTGGTCAAAAGATATGATGACAACTACCGATGTAAAACAAATTCTCATGTTTTATAGTTATTTAATATTGCAACGCAATAATATTGAATATTATTAACTGCGATATTATTACAGAAAAGCATATGTGAGAGAATGTGTTCATCTTCCATGGTGGAAATCAAACTGCTGTTACACAATTATTACAGTGGTTGTTCTTTCATATCTTTTAACGCGATCAGACTCTTGTGGAGAATTTATACGTGTCGAATTATGCTTTATATATTGCATAATGTGTATTTAACTATTCAGACTAAGGTTAACTTGTTTTAAAAGGCCGTAAGCTATAAGTTGTAAGCGATGATATATCGGTCACTTATACTTTTAGGCCGTAAGAATTGTTTGTTAGATGATGTTCAATTCACATATCTAGTTGCTTGTGGTTTATATTTATCACACAACTTATTTTATCATTATAAAAACTTTGTACAATGAAGTAACTACATGCATTATATGTTATCAAAATGGATTTGACTCAAGTTTAACAGTTAAAGCCTAAAGACTGCGCAAAAACAGTTTAAAAGGCAGGAATTATTGTCACTTAATCTCTTTCGACTTATGACTTTAGGCCTCTTAAAGCGAGGTATGGACCGAGACTATAAAAAGTCGACTCTCGACCTTTAAATCCTTTTACGAAGACTTTTTGTCTGAAGAGATGTAAGAAAATAATCATCGATTGAAATGTACACGGTCATCGATTGAATGTACACGTCTTAAGACAGTCCCGCCTTTAAGATAACAATATAACTTAAAGACAAATCTTATTTTTAACATATATTTTTATATCCCGATGTGGTCAAAAGATACAATGACAACGTAAAACAAATTCTCGGTTTTATAGTTATTTAATACTGCAATGCAATAATGTTTAATGTTGTTAGCTGTGATATTGTTACAGAAAAGCATATGTATGAATGTATTTATCTTCGATATTTCCATAGCGGAAATCGAATTGTGTGCTGTCACACAATTGTTACAGGTGATTTCTTTGGCATATCTTCTTTTGGATATCTTAACGCAATCAAACTCTTTAGTTGTGGAGAATTTGTCGCATTATGCTTTACATACATAATGTATCTAATTGTCCATCATTCAGAATAAAAAATCGACAGAATAAAAAACTTCCGCCGTTACCTTTAATGATAGAATGTCTTCGTGAGAACTCTCACGAAGATTTTCTAATAACTATCAATTATTATCTAACGTATACAATATAAAAGTAATCTTATATATTGTAAGAAATATTTTTATCCCTTTTCCTTGGAATAAAAATAGAGTACTTTTTTCCGTGGAACTTGATCACGTTTACCGAAGAAATATACACTGTTAAAAATTTTCTAAAATTTAATATATTTTTAAGTTACATAAAGTTACTTAATTTCATGACATTACATTAAATAATAAATTTAATTTATATTTATAACTGAAAAGTATATTTGTGTGTACATGAAATTTAATGTATTTTTCATAAATTTAATATACACGTTCATTACATTTAAGTAATTACTGATTTAATTTTAGTTCCAAATCAGCCATTACTTTTAATTTCGTTCATAACAAGCATTCATTTACATGTAAAAGAAACATTTCTAACAGTGTACTAATCTACGCTTTCCACAAATGCAGTATCAAAGATTCTGTCTTTTATTCTACAAATAAAAGTTGTAATCACGAACTTACTAAATGATCGTGATTGAAACAAAATTAATGTATTTATAAATTCTATAGCGCACGGTCATAATACATAAAAATCGACACTCAATGTGCTGATGAACATCAAGATATTGAGAATGCGTTTATATGTATTCTTAGCGTTTTCATTATAACAGTATTGTTTCTTAATACATGGTTTATGCTTAATTGAATGATTCACATTCGTAGCGTCTTCTAATTTTCAAAGTCTTTCCTCTTTAATTTTATTTCCTGAAATATCTTTAATTATATAATTAAAAGTATCATTTACATTTACAAAAGTTGGAGTAAACAAGATCCTAGATTTTCTCTAATTAGAAGACATTGTAAATGTTCAAAACGTGACACGTTCAAAACGTAATACATATATAGATATAAGCAAGAAATATACAAAGGATGTTCTATTTTAAAGAATCTACTCAAAATATCTCAGAAATACTGCGTTGAATCGAAAAATGTTTTAAATAAAAGTTTTTTTACTTCGAAGGAGACATGAGATGATATTATTGGTTTAATCTTGAGTGGCGTTAGTGAGGTCAGGGCAAGATTTGAACTTTTTGAATGAAACCACCCATTTTTTATTACAAATTCTTGTAGCTTACCTTGAGAGCTTTTCAGAGCACTATAATAAGCTATAAGAATCTGCAATAAAAAATGGGGAGTTCCATTTAAAAAGTTCAAAGTGTTTGAGATATTTGAGTAGGTCCTTTAAAATGGGACACTTCGTATAACTCAAGAAATATATAATCTGCGTTCTCCAAAAAAAAAAAGGAAAAATAAAAAAAGTAACATATTAATATACAAATTATAAGAATAATATACAATAAAATTCGACGTTACTGTGATTGAAGAACGTGAATTTTTAATCATATTTCTTTGTATTTGTGTTTAATTTGTACAATTAGCTAAGTATAAAAATTAGCACAAAATGTATTAAAACAAAACCATGCAATAATCAGTTTTATCTCACTCTCATATAACAAGTATAATCATGAAACATAATACATTAATAATTATTATTTGATAACAATAAAAAAAAAGTCTATGTGCAGTCTTATTTATCTCCTAGTTAAACATTTCTCCTAGCAATGTTTCTTTCGATATCTTTCTTCTATATTCAACCACAACTTTCTACTTTTCCTAACTTATTTACCACAAAAATCTTTTTCCTCTGTTTAAAGTTTGCAGTTTGTACTTTAAAGTCTCAATTCTTTAACAAGCATCAAAATAAATAAAATTAAAATTTATCATCGCATCAATTGCGAATTATAATCAAAATACGTGCTTTATAATGAGATACAACATTGACTTTATATAGTTACTAAACTTTCAAAAGCTTTTATTTTACATTTTACTGAAAAAACTGCTTTTATATAATGTAGGCTTAACTTTTATAATATTAAAATTAATTATTTAGCATTCAATTAAAAAATAATGTATTAAAATTTGAAGCATTGTAGCAATTATATATAATAAAATCACTTTTTGTTAATAGCAAGTTAAATAACTTTATAATTACTCACAACTTTGCTGGCGCAATTATAATTCAATCAAAAAGATAGAGACTGCGCTTAGAAAAATAAACAAAATTTTGAGTAACCATACTGCCTGAGTTACTATTTTCATCTCAGTTAGTCCTGAGTACATTCTTCCCTTTCAAATTATAGTTGTCGCTAACGCAGTAATATATACAGAAAAAAAGAAAAGACTAAGATTAACATCAATTGACGCTTACGAAAGTTACACGGCAAGTATACTCCTTAAAACAAATACCTCCGACAATTTGCGGCACCACACTTGCAGGCGTCCCTATTTGTCGAAGTCGCATTGTTACGCGACATCTGCGTACCATAATCGAATGTAAGTTCTTCATTATGCTCAATATCCCTGAGAGCAAATAACGCGAGATCCGGCAAATCCGGATCCAGGCAGTTGATCCAAACCACCGAGACCTTGAGATTGGGATTGCAAGAATGATTAATGAAATGTGACGCATTGCCACACTTAGTTGCGTCCACAGTATATGGGCACGGCTGTTGGTTGTAGTCGAGGTCAAAGAGATATGTACAACCTGTCTCATTGTACTCTTTACTACAATTATCCGCGTCCTTGCTTTTAATCACTTTACCCACGTATTTGATCACGAAAGTGCCTTTCTTGATCGCACACTGGGTGCGCACACCCCAGCCACGTCCATTGTTCGTTCGGAAGATGCACAGTTGTGCGTTGGTACCTAATTGTACCACCCGATTCGGACAAGTCTCGTCGCAGGTGCAACGCTTATTGCATTCGTAGATAGGTGTCCCTGCAATCACGCGTAGCTGGCCCGTCGAAGTGTATGGCAACGTTTGTTTGTTGTTGTTCTGTGCAAAACAGCAATTGGACTTCTTATCGGTCCCACAGATGCCTTCGCACTGACAACCGAGCGGTGGATCATTCGGTATTTTAACCTGATCTTCATCTGACTCATACTCGTTGATATACTCGAAGTTTTGTGGTGCACCCGCCAGATCCACCAGGTTCTCTACTTTTATCGTCGGCTTGCCCTTCGCAACATCATTCATTTCGGTCTCCCACTTCTTTAGGGATACGAGTTGGTCACGCCGCAGCTCAAGCATCAGCATGAACAACATCTGCCGTTTGATCTTTTGCTCCAACTCGGTATTGCGCGAGTTTGAATTTAAGTAACGTCGAATTTCGGCGTACATAGTATCCCCAGCGATGGCAACAATAGCATCGTCTGTAGCGTCAATGATCGTTTTATTAGATTTTTCATATTTTCGCGCCAAAAGAAGCTCAACATCGAATTTGTCTGGATAGAAGTTCGCCATTATCTTGAATTGAGTGATCAATTCTTTCCGCTCGTTCTCAAATTCATATACCAATTCTTCGCAGTTGAGATTCTGCAACGGTTCCCATGAGTTGTGATTGACATCCCAGTTTTTCCACTTGATCAGATAGTGTGGTTGTCCCCTATGTTCACGCTTTTGTAGAATCTTCTCCACTTCCCAAAGCTTCATCTTATTCTTGTTGGACGCGGAAGAGGATCTGGCGAGCGCCGCTGCGACTAATTTTCGATGCTTTTCACTGAGCAGAACATCGGACAACTTCACTCGCAACTCCTTCAGCTTCAAATTAAATGGAATCATGTCTCTTCGTATGAATAATCTACTATTGGATGACAATTCCTCATAGTCGGATTGCTGGCCGTCACTACTTAGATCCCTCGTGCTCGTACTTCCACTACGCGTGCTAGAGCTATCGTCGTCAAATGCTTCAAGCATCTTCTGGCATTTAATTGTTTGATGCGATGATGAAGGCAATAAACACACCAATGAAGAGGAGGAGGAAGCTAAAGGAAGACGCAGGAGCATGCGACGAGATATATTGTTGTGGTCCCGTGTATCGTGAACTTTGGGCATCTTGGCGCACGATGATGTGTCAAGGCATCCAGCACAATAGGAGTATCGTCGTTTGGAGGAGGAAGATGAAGGATGACGCAGGCGCATGCTGCCATTCAAGCGATGAGATATGTTGTTGTGGTCCTGTGTATCGTGAACTTTGGGCATCTTGGCGCACGATGGTGGATAAAGGTATCCAGAAGAGACGTTTATGGATAAATGTTGTTTATGGGTAACGGCTGACTTTTCGCTAACTATGCTGCCAGGTATAGCTGCTGATTCACTGCTGCTGCAACCCGCCGCGTCTGCAATATCAAACATTCAAATAGCGTCATTTCTTTATGTTCTACCTTTCTTTTTACCTTTTTTTTCTAATGTTTTTCGAATAAATTTTCTTTCCTTTTCGCTCATTTTTCTTTTCCATATGTTTCACTTTTCATTATTCTTCTCCTCAACGTTCCTTTTTGCCTTTTGTCTCGGCTTGCCGAACGAATAATAGCAATAAATAACACCGAGGTGTTTTGTTCATGTCACGATCGAGTGGTACATAATAATGACAGCGTGTGATTCTAATATCTTCTTAAGACATATTTGGCTTTTCAGCCTATTGCAGCTTCACGAGTTAAGAGAATTAAGAAATTTTTGTGGACACTTTTTCATTTTGAATGCATATGATATTGTTTCAATTTGCATTTTACAAGTACTGCGCAAGACATTCATATAAAATCTCTTCGTCAAGTATTTTATTATGAATAAACATTCCAAACAATAATATATAACGGCGTAAAATGTGCACGAATTCTTAGTAAATGTTAATGTTAATACTATGATTTATCATATATCACAGTTTTGATGTTAAATGCCGAAAATATGTATATATTAAAGAAGCTACACGGTCTGCGGATTATTTTTATATCTTGGCATACATTATTAAGGCTCCTGAGTACTCACCTCAGCCATATTGAATCGTGAAATCATAAACGAGAAATGACATGTTGATTTTTTTTGTGTCATTTGTAAATAAAGACAATTTGAATAAAACGGAATAATAATATCGCTGTAAAAATGGGTCGGGGCTATCCTTGTCCCTGTTGACAGTCAGTAAATAGTCGAAAAACGTTTGTGAAGTAAAAAAAGCGACGCATATGCATTGAGTAAACATTAGTAAACGCATGAGGTTAGACCCATTAAAAAAAACCACTTAAAATCCCCAAAATGAAATGGCCGTTGAGCTTTATTAGATTGAATCCACCTTGTCAAACCCTGCCTTAAATGCCAACGTTTTATAAACACTGCAGTTCACTTCATCAGAGCAAAGACCATTCTGATGAAGTAAACCGGCATTAGATTGCTCTCATTCTGATGAAGTAAACTATTCATAAAATGTTGACATTTTAATAATGTTCCAAGACATGAAGATAATCCGCAAATCTTCCAGCTTTTTTGAAGAAGATACCCGTGAAAGCCTCAAAAAACATTTATTATGTTTATGTGAATAGAAATAGAGCGAGTCATGGGCTGATAGTCATAGTCAATAGATATTTCGCTACTAGACTTATTATTATTTATAGGATTATTATACGACTATGAATACTTTAAAATGTTAATTAATTTTTAACTGTATTATAGTATAAAGATTATACTTACCTCTCATCTTAATTTTTTCCTATCAAAATTCACATTTCAAAAGATGTAATAATATAAAGATTAAAATTAAAATTTTATTATTTTTTAAGTAACTATTTGTCATTATCACTTTAACAGTAAATATGTGAAATTTTTCTCGGCTATATGTCTTTGTAATGTTACGAGAGACGTTTAAAAATTTTTGCGAATAATAGATGACGCTGGAAAGAAAAATTATATAATGTTGACGCTATAAAAAATGGCGTAATCACGCAAATAATTTTTTTCTGACGTCATCTATGTATTCATTTTTAAAAAGTGAAACTTTTTAAATGTCTCTCGTATTAAAAAATACTTAATCCTTTTAACAGAAATTAACATTTAAAGCAGACTTGTCCAAAACTTAGCTCACAAGTTAAACGTCCTACCTTTCCTTTATCTCATTGAAAATTCTTTTATTATAAATTCGTTTGCTATTTTTCTTACACATTGAAGATAGTGATGCATATTACCGCGTTCGGCAGTCAGTGGTGTCAGATTTCGGCTTGTATTATCACTTGATAGAGCATGAGGAAGGAAGAGTGAGGATAGATGCTAATAGCTATATAGTTATAGCTGAATACATGAACTCATGTCTATAGTTATCGGTAACTACCTCCATTCTTCCCACCACGCGTTACCAAGTGCAAGTCGACTAAAGCATAATAGCGAGATACGTCCATCCTTCTTACGTTCGGCAACTTTCGGTCGCATCGAGCGCGAGTGAAACAGACTCAGTCGTGCTGAGCCGACGTTCTCGGACCCCAATATGCATCACTGGGCAGACTTACATTTTTTCCGTCTTGAAAACAATGTGATTGTAAGAGGATAAAGATGATATGAATAAGTCGTAGAATAAGGGCACAGAAAATAAATCTTAAAATTCCCTGATTTTTCCAAGTTTTCCAGATGAAAATAAAAAATTTTCCATGAATAAACATAAAATATGTAAATTTTAACATTTAGACTCACAAATTGTAGAAAAACAAGTCTATACTATTAAAAACAACGCAAAAAAAACTTGATAGCATAATTTTGTAGTACAATTTTGGATCCAAATTAAAGTCATAGCAAAAAATAAATTAGTTTTGGAAAAAAAGAATGCAATTAAGAGCGATCAAATAAAAATACTGAATAAAATATAAATTTTAATTTTATTAAAATCGTTTAAAGTGCAAAAGTTTTGAACGTATTTGAATATAACGTCAAATATAATATTTAAAAAATTATAATAATTATTTGGAATAGGAGCAGTTTCAGGAAATTGTGAATAAATTTCGAAATTCTAAACTTTTTTACATTTTCCCCTGACTTTTCCCAGTTTTCCCGGTTTTCCGGATTTTTCTGTGGCAATCTTGAATAAGATATATTTTCTGTATTCTGATAAATACTTACCTCATTTGTATAATCTAATATAAATAAATATAATTTAAATATGAGTTTTGATATATTAACAACAGAAATGTCACACTATTTCTTTCTCATATTTTTCGCTCTATATCGACAGTATTTGAATAGTAAAACATTTAATAAACTATTCAACATTGAATGTATCTCTGAATTACATAGTTATTTAAGTAATTTCAATAAAAACAAATAGAAAAAAATAGATGCCAGAAGAGCTAATCACTAGACAGAGTTTTAAGTCTACTTTTTTATATTTGTCTCTGTCTCGCTCAATAAGATGATAAACAGAGAAAAACGTTTTTTATGGCTCGATCGAAATCTTAAAAGAATATATATAAATGATACAATTATAGCAGCATAAAACATCATTTACTGTGATTATTATTCTCTATCTCTTAGCTTTTAGTTATGGATGATTTAAAAAAATATTCGAAATGCCCGCCTTGTGTGTCAACACACAACTACTGTACAACTTAGCCAATAAAAATTATCATTTTATTCTTCTTTATTATTTGCTAAACAACAAGTTTGCATAATTCGAAACGCACCCTAGGATATCTCGACGTTATTTAATGTTTATAAAAATATCCATCAATACAAAATCAGACAGATTTTCAAGTAGTCGGTATCTTATGTTCGCGAATTATTATTCTACATACTGTTCTAAAAGATATAAAATAGTAATGTACACTTATGCTGAAATGGCCGACATGCATAATGCATTTGATGTGTAGCCGTTGATGCACGATGGTACTCCGATTTATTTTCATCTTGAAGTGAAAACATCTTAAACAATTTTATAAACCGATAGGGTAAAAAAGGCAGACCCATCCCATAACCACCACAATCTCCTTATTTCAATCCATTAGATTTTTATTTTTATGGCCGTTTAAAATCTCCTATACCCAGTGAGAAATGATTGGTTGAAAAGACGTTGAATCAATGTCTAAAACATTAATTGATATAGACGTCGAAAATTTGGTCGTTTAAACGTTTTTGTGTCACTCGAAATAGATGACTATAAAACGCATATTTACACGTCTATAAACATTTCATCTACAAAACTTCTACAAAATGACTATAATATGTTTATAAGATGTTTGTATACAGTCTATATATGTCTACATCTTTTAAACACTTGTAGACATCTAAATAAGTGTCTTATAGTCGTCTCTTTCTACAGGATATCTGTGTGATAAGACATCTATATATAAAGATTTTTATTTTAGATGATTGGCTGTCTTCCAAAATTCACTCAATACTGAAAATGTATAGTGCACGTAATATAAATTATATATAGGATGTCCCTGAATAATTATCAAATATTTCATGTGCTAGTAGAATGGACTAAACCGGATTCGAAAAGTCCTCTACCATTTTGCAATTTTCGCAATTTTTGCAACAGTTAATAAGATATTAATTAATGAAAATCGTTGAATATTGATTTACAATAATTTTTTACTCAAATACTATCAACTTTACAAAAATAAAAACAAAAAAAACAGCAAGAGACAAGAATTATTTATTTTCTTCTCATAGAGTTCTGAAAATTTTTTCATAATTTTTTAGTACTAAATTAGTAATAAAAATAATTACTAATCAGAAAATGCAATACTAAAAAGTTGATAAAAAATTTTGAAAAAATTCTTAAAGCTCTATGAGAAGAAAATAAACAATTTTTATCTCTTATTGTTTTTCTGTAAAGTTCATAGTACTTCAATAAAAAATTATTGAAAACCAATATTCAGCGATTTTTAATAATCAATATCTTGTTAATTGCAAAAATGATAGAGGATTTTTCGACTCAGTCATTCTGACACCCTGTATTTTCAGCGTTGAATTTCAGAACATAACCATAATTGTCTAAATTATATTAATTAAGTTAAGTTTGAGGTATTTAAATAACAATTAGAAAGTTTTAGATATGAATTACGATAGAAAAATTTTATATATAACATTTTAAAATTTAAAAACACAAATATTATAAAAATATTTCAAACATTTTGTATTCAGAAAAATGTCTAAAATACGTTTTTTTTAGACGTATAAGGTCTAAAATACGTTTTCAAACGTTTCTAAAGCTTAAAAGATACAAATTGCGTTAATCATTTTTATAAATTTTATATTTGCAAAAAATACATTACTACATTCTAATAAAAATAAAATTTTCTACTGGTTGAAAAGAGATTAAAGTACTTATCAATGTAAACCATAGACGACATAGCTGTCTAATAGTCATCTTTTCAATCTATCATTTCTCACTGTATTTAACATCAGTAAACAATGTGGATGATCTGCGAGAAAATAAATTTGAGATTATTCGAAGAATATCTAGTATTTTTGAACAAGTGCGAAACTCGATGCTAAACTTAGACCTATTGCACGTTAAAAAAAGAAAAATATACCTGCCAAACATCATGCTATTTCGTCCGCATTTTCCAAACTCTTTCAACTAATACATTAGCACTTTCCAGTATTATACTCCCTGTTCTTTTTAGTTGAACTTCTTGTAGGGTTCATTTTTTCTCTTTTTTTCTCCAATGTAGAAAAGAAAGAAAAATAAATCATACAAGAACTTTAGCTAGAAAGAACAGACCTACAGTTCAGTGTCTGCAGCCGCCATAAGGCGTGCAGCAGCGTGAGTTGACACACGAGGCAAATATTTTGAATATTTTTTTTAATCATCCATGATTTGAAAACTAATATGTAGGACGTATATTCATATAACGTTTTTTACTTATTTCAATGAGTATAGATTTACCTAAAGTTGATATACATCTATAAAACACCCTATATATGTTCTAATCAGTAATACTATTGGGCTGCCTCGAATTTGGCTCATGTAATGTTTTTTATTTAGAATGTAGAATCACGTAGACAAGGAATTACGTGCTGAGTAAATTATTCAAAGTTATGATAAATCGTTAGTTTTCAGTGAAAATCGGAAAATCTAAACAAACCTCAATTTTGATGTAATAAGGATTAAAAATGCATAAAATCTAGAAAAATCCAATAAACTTCAAAACCTCTCTAAGTTAGATTTTTTTCTTGAAAACCTAAATTTTTTTAAACCCTGCTTTATATTCAATAAAAAATAAAATTTTTCTCTTAAGATCACAATAAGAAGGATAAAAAAAGGACCAAAATTGGTAAGATTCACTTAATTTATAGCTTATGTGAGGATTTACAGATTTTCTGATTTTCACTGAAAAATAACGATTCACATAACTTTGAATAATTTACTCAGCATATAATTTCTTTTCTATGTGATTCTACATTCCAAATACTAAATAAAAAACACTGCATGAGTTAAATTAAAGGCAGCCCAAAGAATAGTAACACTATTCTTTGGGCTGTCTCTAATTTGACTCATGCAGTGTTTTTTATTTAGAACTACTAGAATAAAGGAAAGATAAAAAGTAAGTTACATCAAGATTAAGCTACTTCGGTAGAAACAAGCCGGCGGCACACGATGCTTGTTTTCATATTGTTAATAGCGGATTACAATTCTTGCCATCGTATATGATCAACTTTAGTGTCTGATACGACTATCTATATCAACCCAGTCATAGGATTACCCCATAAGGGAAACTAGAACTGTATAACGAAGGGAAAAGCGTTTAATTTGCGAGCTAAGCTTTGGACAAGTCTGATTTAAAAGATTTGTTATATGTGTACTTATATAAAAAAATATTCTTCTGCACAGGCACGTTTGTGCAAAAGAATGTTTTTTAATCAATTTTAATACCGAAAGGTATTACATTTGTGTGAAATTGACTAATTTCTTCAAAATTAATAAATTTACAGAGAAAAAAATTAATACATTTAAGTGTGCTCACCAAGTTTAATAGTGATATTCCTTTCTAGTTCATTTTTAAAACGAACAGTCTGCACTCCCGAAATAGCTTTCACAATTGTTGATTTTCCATGTGCTACATGTCCAATAGTTCCTATGTAATAAGTTTATATATAAACATTTATCTATATTTTATAACACTAGTGTTAAAAAATATATGTATCACATTTTTAACTTAAAACACTTAAACTTTGTGGACTCACCAATATTGATTGTAGCCTGCCTACTGATTACTTCGGGTGACAATGCAGTTAATTTAATTACATCCTGTACACAAAATCAAAGAAAAAGAAATAAGTACTTTTCAGTGCAATAATGCTAGGATAAAATTAAATTGAAAATCATTACAATTTAAGATACAGTGGAACTTTCATAACTTCTATTACACGGGGCTGTGAGAAGTTATAGTTCTCCCCATTTTCACATTAAAGGTGAAGCATTAAAAGTAAATAACATGTATTAAGCTGATTCTACAATAAGTCGGTAGTCCTAAGTCTTATCGATGAATCGGTGAAGTTGGCTAACAGCCAACTTATACGATTAAGACCGGTATTCATAGTCAGAAGTTTTTATTATTTAAGACTGTCTTAAGTACAGTCTTAAAAAGTCACAAATCAATCACAGGACTGTATTAGCATCTTAAGACATTATTTAAAATAGTCTTGAAATAAGAACGGACTGTGAATACCACCCTAAAGCTACTAATTTTCTTAAGACTGACCAAATTCAATCCTTCCCATTAGTCGAGCTAAATGACTCACTGTATAACTAACAACTAGTAGATACAAAAAATCATAGTCACCTAAAACTTGTTAAGATTTAAAATTTCCGATTACTTTTTCTTTTTCTTCAATATAGAGAGAAAAGATAAACTTAAAGATAAAAACTTATAGTTCACATCACGTTCATATACTTATGGTGACCATACATTCTTTATCGTAAAGGACAATCTTTTTTTATTTTAGGTAAGTATCCTTCAAATTTATTTGTTTTTTCAAAACTTAATTTTGTCCTTTATTTTCTAATATTGTCCTTATTTTTCATTTTGATATTACAGGAAATGCTTTTCTAGCGTTCCAATATTTATATATATATATATATATAATATTATGAACAAATTTTTACAGAAAATATTTTAGTTTCATGCATATAAATACAATTTTTTTGTTAATTATATTTCTTAATTTTTTAAATTTATTTAAACTAGAATTTTCATTTTTTATTATTATATTTATCGAACCTTTTATTATTTTAGATCAAGAGTTTGTTCCAATACAGTCGAACCAGTTTTGAACTATCAGAAAACTGCATATTATCTCAATTTGCTTATACTGTATCAATATTTTATAATATAGATTCTTAACACTTCTCACAAAGTGATTTGAAAACATGTTAGGAAGTCCTAAAATTTTCGGATTTGTCCTTTTCTTTAAGAAAATATGGTCAACATATGTATACAATTTTTGGTACTTGTAGTGAATAATCGAGCCTTTATGCAAATTCAACTAAAACAAGATATCTAGATACATTAATAAAAAAATTCTAATAACAAAGAATAAAACATGATTCATAAAAGATTAATTTCTTGTAGAATAAATATAGAATGTTATACTCGCAGATCTCTTACTCTTGTGGAACGTACAAGACACTCCATTATTATAATTATTATTACAATTAAACTTTTATTCAGTTTTTATTAACTTTCATTAAATTTAAAATAGGCGTTAAGAGAAAAAAAAGAATAAAAAATAATTAAGAGCACCGTGTACACAAAAAGTAAAACTGGCATCCTATCGATTAATAATTAATATGCAAATTGTACATTCTGTACTTGAAAAATCAGACTAATTTATCCGTTTTACAGCATGCTACAATTTAATTATTGACAAATATTTAATAATTTTCTCCCTTTCACGTCCCTCACATTCCTCAAATCATTTGATGATCCCGAAGAAAATTTTCACTGACTCCATGCTAAAATTAAGTCAGCCCACAAAGAGACAAAGGAGCAACAAAATCTAGTGTCGAATTCTTTTTTCTCTCTTTATCATAAAACTGAAGAGAGAATCTGTTTAATTTGAAGTAACGAGAAATGTTGTGCACGTGGCTAACCATACGAAGCCAAGCTAGCGTGTAGGATTACACGAGGTTAACATGGCGGCACGGCGTCAGAGGATCGAGTATATATCCCAAAATGAGACGAAAATTACAAAAATGGGCAAATTCATTCGAATATTTATAATTTAATTAGTTAATATCTAATAAATTTGCTCACTTTTGTAATTTTCACCTTATTTAAAAGTACATAATCAACTCTCAGATAAATGGCGCGAAGACAGCGTCTAACCGCGAACTTACGAGCTTTGATAGATCTTGCTTGTAGAGATTCGGCTGCCCGGTAGTTACACCAAGACCATCCTCATTTCCCATTTTCCAAGTCTCACCAGTGAGCACAGGATGCCTCTGCTCTACAAAGATTCCTTGTTTAATCCTTCTGTGTTCTTTAGCGCCCTTCCACCCACGTTTCTGACCAAATGATTACGAAGAGATGAACAATGACTTTAATATTACAAGCAAATTTTTCACCACTTTCCACCTCTACTGACCTCCACTTTCTTCTCCTATAAATTCTACAATGTTTTACTTCCTGTAGTCAACTGAATATTTTCAAAAATTCTCATTGATGGCGCTGTGATGAACGTGGAAATACAGGCTAATGTAGATGTGAAGATGGATGGACCAATTACAACTAAAAATACAGCATTACTAGAATAACGACATTTAAGGCATAATTAATCACTGAAATGTAAGTTGCTTTCTATTTACACAGATTTTTAGTAGGCAAGTAGTGATAACCTCAGTCGAGTGCATATTCCTCTTGCCATTACCATTCATAGTTGTCTTATTTTAAGACTGTCTTAAGATGCTAATGTAGCTCTCTAATTGATTTATGACAGCTTAAAATGACAGCTTGTATTTAAGCAGTCTTATATATAAGATCTGACTATGAATATCAGCCTTAGTTATATATATTACGCATGCGCATGATGCAATTGATAGCAATATCTAATAAATATAATCTAATAAGTCCAATTATAACCAAGTATAGGTTAGAAACGAATAAAGCTACTACTTGCTTGTTATAAAGTCACTAAATTAACAAAGTTAGTATCGCGAACTGCCGCCATTTTGGCTCCATAACACGCGGTTATTCAAAATTTCAGCCTTTTTTGCTGCGGTTTTTGCAATTTTCAACACAGCAACCGAGCATTTTCGATAATAACAGAATCAGGTTCTTCTTCTTCCAAACCCCTGTATGGATTTCCGACCTTTTAACAGAATCAGGTTAGGATAGCACTTTGACATCATTTTGGCTTCAAATGTTAATTCAGTGAATTTTCTCATCGCGGTACTTTGTTAATCTAATGACTTTAGCTTATTGCTGAAAAGAATGCTTTCTCTCTTGTCACTTTTAACATGGTGGCATAGTGCTGACAGTAAATATCGAAACACAGTGTAGGTGACTCTCTTACTACCAAAATTGTAGAATGATTCGTTTCTGGTTCTTCTAATTGCTTCTAATCATTAAAGAGATGGAAAATGGAGATTAAAGGTCCAGTCTTTTTAGCTGAACTTCTTCCATGATTCAGCTTTCCTTCTTTTCTCCTCACATAAGAGAAAAAAAGAGAAAAAATGTACTGTATATGTTTAACTATCAATTCTTTGATCGAATTCCAATTTCTTATTTTCAATCTGTAATATAACAGGTAAACTCCACAGTTTCACAACTGATAACTCTTAACCAAGATTCAATTTATTCATTATCTCTTTTCAATTTTGGAATTAGAAAAAGATGAGAAATAAGTTGAACCTTAATTAAGAATTAACCATTGTAAAACTGGACTCAAAAGTATGCCAAGTTATATTAAAACTCAGGTGAAAATTTGTCTGAGAATTTTTTATGTAATATATTTCATAATGTATATATGAATTTTAGAAAAATATAATATAATTAGAAAGGATCAAAGGAAATAACAACACAGAAATTTAAATGAGAGGAGGTAGACAAATTATTAAATTGAAATAATTCACTTTACTTTATTTGATATATGATATCTTCTTTATTCCGAAATCTTAAACATTTCAATTCTCTTTGGAATCCTCATCAGCAAAAAATTGTACATTCTTAATCAAAATTAGTTCAACAGTCAGCCAAGAAGTCACTTGCAGGTTATCAAAACTAAAATGGATTCTCAACAGACCACACATGTGTCGTGAATCTTCGAAATGATAATACAATTCACAACGTACTAAATATCGATACACACTTTAATTTTAGTAAACATATAAAAATGAAGTGTCTAAATGCCATCTGTTGTAAGTTTGAAGTATGCGGCATGTTTCAGCGATCTAGGCCGTGGTCCAACTCATGAGCATTATTTGTCTTCGTTTAATATTTGACAAATAACAAAAATGAAATGATTTTTAAGTGTCGTGAGTGAGAATCGGACTGCGGCCCTAGAGAGCCTCACAGGAAGAGAATGACAAATTGCATCACGTGCCCTGTCTCCTCTGATTGGGCATGAGTATCAAAGCTCCATGGAAGAGAAAACTAGTCACGTGACCCCTGTCCAGATTGAACGTGGGCATTCACGTGATATAATTTGCTGCTCTCTCCTTGTGGAGCTCTCTAGTTCGATCCGTTTATGATAGAAGGAAATTTCTTACAGTCGAATGGGAGAGGAATACTCGACTGTGATCAATCGAGCAATTCTTACAGATTATGGTATAACGGCCAATAACGCTCCTAATAATAAATCTGTTCGCTCCTTAATAATAGATCTCTTCGCTTTCTCTCTTTTCAAGGTAAAATATGTATCTATCTCATTTTTAATGCAAAAATATTTTGATTTCATGCAACGCGAATAGACTTAATTTCAAGGAAGTGCAACAGTCAATTTATTCAATCAAGAATTTAGAATTGGCTAGCATTTGAATGGCTGGTCATGTCTCATTCTCGGTCACGCTGTCGCACTCAGTCGTATTGAGCCGAATTTAGCCGAATGCGGCGTGCTCAGACTCCAATGTGCATCACTGCGACACTAGGATCGCTACGATCGCTAAGAACTCTAGATTTGCTCAATAATAATTTATTTCTCTCGCACTGATTTTCATCAGTCTTTAATTTCTTTGTTTACTATTATTATAAATTTTAGAATTTTTCAGATTTTCTAAATAATTTTATACCTTCTTAAATATTTCAGATTTTTTAATATAAATTGGGACATTTTTTAGAAATGCTAAGAAAATTTACACATTTTACACATTCATCTTTTCTAGAATTTTTTAATATAAATTTTAAAACATTCTGAAATTATTCATTTTATAATTTTCGAAAAAAATACTTTAAACTTTTTCAAATTTTATTGATAAGATTTTACTGTAGTCGTTGTTAGTTTTTCAACAGGTTTATTACTTCGAATTACAGATACAGCGCATAGCTTAATAATAAAAGGAAATGCTCGCAAAGACCAAGAAGCAGAGAGAGACAAAATAGTAAAGAGAAAAAAGAACAAACGCGCGAGTTACATAAAACGATTAATCAATAGTAACAGATTCGATTTCATGCGATCAGACAATGATTATCTTATCATTTTCATTATCAAAATTTCATTAGAAATTACTGAATAAGAAATCAAAATGTTAGACTATTTCAGAATTCACATTCATTTAAAAGCTCATTAGAAACGAGTTTATGATGATATTGAATCTTATTACATATTTATATTACTAACCGAATATAATGCTTTAAGTATTATTTTTATCAGATTTACAGAATTTATATTATATAAATGATAATTTACTATTATGAAATATGATTTTATAATTGGATTGATTTATTGAACAACTTGGACATATAAATATCAGATAAGCTTTTAATATTCTTGATATTTACACTGCAATGGTTTGAACTATCCAAGTCAATGAGAAACTTGATCTTTCGGCAGTATAAAATCTGATTTGTGGAGACCGGAACCAATAAAGTTCAGTTCTAAGATTTCAATACTTTTATATGATTATATTATGAACAAAAGCATTGAAATCTTAATATTAAACTTTACCGCTTCAGCTACAAGTTAACGATTATTCCATAAATCAGACTTAACAAGATTATTTCCCCATCATTTCTTCTTTTCCAACAACGTATTCTCTTTCTATTTGTCGACACTATAAATTGGTAAACTAAATTTCTCCTTCGGAACATTTTTAATCCAGAGCGGCGGCACCAGAAATAATTTCAATCAGTTCCCTGGTGATCACAGCCTGTCGAGTGCGGTTGAAAGTAAGAGTGAGTTTGTCGATCATCTCTCCGGCGTTCTTGCTAGCATTATCCATAGCTGACATACGGCTGGACTGTTCGCTGCAGGCACCTTCCTTCATCGAGTAAAATAACAGCGAAGCAAGAGAGAACTCGAGATAGCTCTGTATTACCTCATCATCGAGCGAATCATACACTGACATTTTCGGCGCAAGAACTACTGCGTTCTTATCGAACACTGGTAGCTCATCAATCGCATACGATACCACAGACTTAAATTTGTTGTACACTATACGTCCACTTCCAAAGGAATAACTGCAAAAGAATAGTTATTAATTATATTATACAATATTCTTTTAAAATGACATAGTTTATATATCTAAAAGATCCATATAGTTAAGTAACACAAACGTTATCGAAATTGAATTTCAATCGAATTGGCTGAATATTTGATATGTCGTAGATTTTGTCATTATGATAAAAAGTTTTCACAGGCAGGACTCCTTTCTACAATGAACCGTTTTACCTCTACAAGACATCATTTTTCAAAATTATTACATCTAGCGACTCCTATTGCCTTTTTATTATTATTTATTATTAGGTGTTGGAATTAATTCGTAGCGTTTTACAAGTGATGGGAAGTACTTTCATTAATGTATTTTTTAATGCTCATGTGAAATAAATAACATTCTTTCATTAAAAACGCTACGAATTAATTCCAACACCTAATATTATCCATTAATATATTCATTAATTTGTTTTTTTATTGTAATTTATTAAGTTTAGAAAAATTTATAGTAAATAATCTCAGCTGGTACTAGGTCTGTTCTTTTAAACTAAACTTACGGTTCAGCTTTTATTTTTTTTTTCTCTAACATGGAAAGAAAAAGTGAAAAGATGAACTATAAAGAAGTTGAATTGAAAAGAGAAGTTCAATTGAAAAGAACAAGTCTATTGCATTAATTAACTGTTTAAACTAATAATTAGTTACTCTATATTTAATACTCTATCCTAGCTCTTGAGTTTGATTAACGTACCCACTCTCCAATATCTGTATAGCTATTTCGGCAGCATCATTAAATGTGGGTGGCTTGCGACCGATTTCGGACGCAACGAAGAGTATGTTGTTCGCGAATTGCCGTTGAAGAATGGTACGAGACTTCTCACCAATGCATATGATCTTCGTGTTCTCGCGTCCTTCCTTAGTATCATCTAATAATCGGTCGCGAATGTTGCGGGATATACCAGTATGCACAGCGCCGCAGAGACCACGATCACTGGTCACAGCAATAATAAGCTTTTTTGGTTCCTCTGGTGGTGCTTGGATCTCAGCCTGCTCGTAGAACACCTTTGTGCCGATGCCGAGGGGACGAGCCTGCTTTAAATCACGTTCTGCTCGACTATATTTGGCTGCTGATACCATCTTCATGGATTGAGTAATCTTTTGAATATTCTTGACAGATTTCAAACGTATAGAGATTGACTTCAGAGTGGCCATTCCCCTCTGCTGTTGCCATTGTTGCTCTTGCGCGGCTAGTCGCAGAAACGTTGATATACGGTTGCTGAGCATCATTGTTAGATTCCTAAAAATTCGAATTATCAAAAGATCATTCTATTTTAACTCAAGGACTCGGACCGAAAAATTTTGGTTCAAATAATGGCTAAGTCCAACTTTTGATTTCAGTTCTTTTATCATAACGGTTACTGAGTTCTATCAGAAAATTATCAGTAAATATGCATTATTCAACTTAATTATACTGTGCAATAAAATGTTATAATGCATAGATTCTTGACAGTCACAAACTAGTTTGAAAAACATGGAACAAAGTCCTAAATTTTCAGATTTGTCCTTTATTTTCTTTTGCTTAGTTTATATCATGCACTTGCGATACGAACACTAACTAGTAGCTTGCCAAAGAATTGAAATAAATAGAAATAGATTCGTGTAGTCATTATCAAATCCAAAATTTTGATTTTTTCATATATTGGGATTATCTTAATTTTAATGATACATGTAAACATACACATAATATATTTAATTAATCATTTTGAAGCATATTGTATCAATTTAGTATATCATTCTTTAATATATTGCTAAAATTAAAATTATTTAGTAGAAAGTTACTGTTGTATATCAATTGAATAGAGCACATGCACTGTCTCTACTGACTAGAAATACAAGACTTCTCACAAATAAATATATTAATCTTATCTATAGTACCATATATAAGTATGTATTAATTTTATTTATTGTACCAGTATTATTTCATGCCCTCATTAAAATATAACAGTTACTAGTTAATATATGTATCAAGTGCTCCATGTAAATGAGGTCTTTAAAAAAATATGTATTTATATTGAATTGTATTTATATTGAAATATGGCTATAGTAAATAGGACTAGCATCAGAATACAATACAAAATAAGTATACAATACAATAGTACCTTAAGTAATAAGTACCTTAAGTACTAAGATTGGTGGTCTAAGACAAAAAAAAAACAAAACGCTCTTATTTTTTTTCCACTTTTAAATGTTTCATTTGTTATGTAGCTTTTGTTCAGTCACACATGAATGATAATAATGGAAACATAGCATATTTATTTAATAGATATCGCAGGGATTAACCTTAATAAAAGTATCACTACTTTTTACCTCATTTAAGGGATAAAGAGTGTCAGAATAGAAATGATAAATAACCCAGCTGCTTCATATAAGTTGTTTTGTCAGTTAATACAAAATACTAATGATAATAATAAAATGCAATTACATTTCTGATGACAGTGATAAAATGCAATTACATTTCTGATGATAGTGATAAATACAACGAAATGAAAGATCTGTTACATCTGCAGAGAAAAATTTCTGACATTCGGTAAGCACATTTTACCGTCTTCTTTGTCAAAAATCCTTTCTGTATACATACTTTTTCATTCCTGGAATAAATCGTAAGACACGCTGTGAAATACGATATGATTAAGTCGTAAACTTGAAATTACGGCGATGCATCAAGTCCGATAATCAAGAACTCAGTTCCGAATGTAGCACGATATCATTCCGTTTACATAATCGCAAGGAGAACATGTATGTAGAATCGGTTCGATATCGTGGTCAAGCCAAAGGATGAAGCTGCATTGTTTGGGAACGATATAGCGAAATCGACTCACCGGCTAAAATGAAGCTCCGAAAATAAAGCTCACAAATAATTGAGAATCTTCCACTAATCAACCGGATCAGCGGATCTGCGAGATCCGTCAACCAAATCGAATTATTCGAACGCACATGAGGCATAGGTTCGCTTTCACATGCAGCGTAAAGCAGAGTTTTCATTGGATATCGCTTATCGCTCATCGCTTATCACGTCCAATGTGCAGTAATCTGATTTGTGACTAATGGCTTATTGCAGAAGGCTCATTTGACACAATAGAGGAAATATTAAGAATAGGAATAATTATTAAAATTTCAACCTACCAGAAACCATATATTCCGGTGTAATTGATATTTGATAAGTTAAAATCTTAATATTATTTCTATTCTTAGGTTCCAAAACTTCCTCTCCAAGGAAAATTTTATTCGATATATATAGTACACGTAACGTATACTATAACATATAGAATAAAATCTTCCTCGGAGAGGAAGTTTTGGAACACATCACACGAAAAGCCTTAATATTTGTTCTATTGTGCACAAGCCTTTATGGCTCCCGTACAGAACGCGACTTGCCGTGTGGCGGAAGTTATTATACTAACCAATAACCAATATCACTGAAGTTCTGTTTTAGCCTCGATTGGAACGTCAGCAATCGGTCGGATTTTCGATACGTGAATACGCACAGAGATATGCGTCATAGGAATCCAGATATGTCATTTTTACATAATTATATTGTATTTTTCGAATGATCTGAAACCAGCAACACACGATTTCTTAAAAAAAGGGAAAAACTTTCAGAAGAACTCCCTGTAGGGACGGTTAGATAGGATAATTCTTTACCCGAATTTCTTTCAATGTCCGTAGACATTGCCGAAAACAGTTCGATGAGTCAGCATCAGCAGTATTACCTGATCTGTTCCCAGTCTTATGTTGATCTAGACTTCATGTAAAGTCTGATCTTTTGCTAAAACTGAATCGGATCACTCGGCTATAACATGTCAATTTCAACCGAAATCGAAATCAAAATTAAAAACTAGGAATATTGTAAGGGCCGTATTCATAGACATATAGCATATACTTTTCCTTCATAAATATAATTTATTGAAATACTAATTAAATTTCGGTTGAAATCAAAATTAATATTTCGGTTGTGTGTCAATTTTAGTCAAAAAATATAAGTACTTCTCCATAAACATCATAATTTAATTATTGAAACAATAATTAAATTTAATACACATATTAAAATTAATATTTAAGAAGAGCTATACAGTTTTAGTCGAAACTGACACGTAATGAGTGTTCAGTTTCGGTAAAAGTTTCTGTTGGACTGTATTCATATATATAATAAAGTTTACAACATTTTAGCTAATATTTAAGTTATAACATAAAAATTTAGAGCGCTTTAAATTAAGTTTTGCATAAATCATAGCAATAAAATTTTTTCATGTTGCTGCTTCTAGGTGGATTGCTAGCTAGAATAGATTCTATCCATTGTATTGTCTGCGATGCCGGCCTTTCACTTCATTGTCACCGCAGTCTAGTAGAATGAAAAGATTCTAATCGTTCTATAGAATTGCTATAGAATTAACGAAATCCGACCGGAAAATGATCCATAGCACAGAATGTTGAAATAATGTTCTATGCTGTATGGGGAGCATCATGTATCGCAGACTTATTTGGTACAGGTAAGATTTGAACATAATATTTCCAGAAAAAAAAAGAAAATTTAAAAGAAAAGTAATGAACTGATGTAGCAGATATAACATTTCTGTACATAAAATGCTTTTGTCATCTATCAAATTAATCCTTTTAATATGATATACATTTACACACATAAACTATGCATATTTCCTGCAAATGATTTAATATAGATCCAGTGGCGGAGTTTCATCGTAAAGTTTTTTCCTTTCGCCATCTTTAAACTGCCGCTGTCGCTCGGCATCCATAGCGATCAGGCGGCGCCTTCTTTTAATACCCATTATACATTCGTACAAATCCTCGAGTATCAATCGGCACTTTTCTTTGCCTCTATGATAACCATATGCTTCCATGCAATCCATATACATCAGCTCATATGGCCCGCATTGTTTATGAGATTGTAAATTGCGCACATGAAGAAAGGCATCTGAGGGAGGTCCCTTGAACATGGGCGCACTATTCCACCTCGTCCAAATGATATTGTCGTGGTCTAGCATGATGTATCTGAAAAATACAGCATTTTTAGAAATCACAACTCATAATATATTAGTCAGTATTTCAGAGTTTCAGTATTTTAGTATGATCCTTGCTAAAGAAATATTCTATGCAATCATGGGGAGAAGCTCTCGATACATTTTTAATCTTCAATGATCACACTTTAGTAAAATATTATAACAGTTACATAAGGTCCAAATAATCTCAATTTTGATTTTGAACGATTGTCGCGTCCAAATTATTAATTGTTTTAAATAAAAAAAATTACTAAACATCCTTCAAATAGTGTAAAATATATATGAATCAATTTATACTTAAATTTTAATTCGAACAATATAAAATAAATTACCGAACCAAAAGAAACATAAAAAATGACTTCTTGATTTTAAAAAAATCATAACTTTTTAGATTTTTAATTTTTACAGGATATAATAGTATATTCTTTAGGTGTTGCACTTTGAAAGAAAAAATAAGTGTCACAGTGCGTATTTAAAAAAATTTATTTTGAAATACAGAGGGTAATTTTTAAGAAATAAAACAAAACAAATTCTGGGAAAAAAATCCATTTTTTGCTAATAAGGAAGAGGAAAAATATAAAAAAAAGTTAATATCTTAAACACACTAAAGATTTTAGCCTGCATAATTAACTACATAGATGTATAGTATGTGCGATATCCTTGGTAGCAAGATATCGTCCACTTGATGTAATTAATTGATCAATAATTCTTAACAAATCTAATGTCCTATAATCATAAAAATGATGTGAATTTGTCACAGTCACATAACGTCAAATAAACAATGTAAAAAATATCTCATTTCATTATTTTCATATTATTAACGACATAAATGAATAACGTTATTAATTAATCACTAATATGTCGTCGATTAGTCATTTATCTGATGTCAATAAATATGACATTGTAAATATGTCATAAATAAATGATATTATCAATTGGTAAAAAAAATAACATTATTATTATTATATCTTAAACAGATCACATGATATCAATAATTCAAAATGACTAACTATCGACGTCAAAATGATTACAGCAGTACTGGGATTTACTTACATATTTCAGCCGATTTTCTAAATGTACTATAGTATATGTATTTGATTATATATATTAATAGGATGCGCGTGGATTGGTGAAATAAAGGACAGGAATAAAACTGAAAATCGGCCAAAATATGTTATCTCAGCACTGGGACTACAATTCTATCTGCAATGCTTTTCGCACACTGAGAATGGACTCGCAAGATGGACATATATACAGGGTGTCCAGAAAATCGCTTGCAATATTTTGGAAAGTGATTCGGAACTCAAAAAAAAAAGGAAAAAAAACTTCATAAACATAGATCCGGAAATAACGAGTTATAATTACTTTTTTATGTTAAAAAATTGTAATTTATTTTTCATAATCATCATTATAATTTATTTCATAGTGTTTTAACATAAATAACTACATTTCGGACTATTTTGGCGTTATCCAGGATGTACCATATGGAGGCATAATCTGCTTAGCATTCCTCTAGTAAAATAAAAAAAATTTTAATAAAAAAGAAAGAAGGATACCAAACGGACTATATCTCTATATGGTGAATCCTAAGTAATGCTAAAATAGTCAGAAATGTAATTATTATGTTAAAACACTATGAAATAAATTATGATTGTAATTATAAAAAAAATAAATTACAATTTTTTTAATATAAAAGTGATTACTCGGAAACTTATTTCCGAATCTACGAGGAGAGAATTTTCTTTTAAAATTTAGACTGAAAATATGAAAGTTGTGATACAATGCAATATTTTAAAGTTTGTGCCCTGTACTTCAGTAAAATTGATCGAACTTATTTTATATTTTATTGTAATTTTATTAATGAATGAGATTTTGATGTTAAAAAAATTATAATTTATTTTTCATAATCATAATTTATTTCATAGTGTTTTAATATATATTTAATACATAAATAACTACATACGACAATATTCTGGAACCGATTTGATTTTCTTTAAAATATGTTGTTAAACACATATTTTTTTATACTAGCTCAATCTCAGATTTTAAGAATAAAACAATCTCTCAAAGTTATAATACTTATATTTGATTTCTATGAATAAGCAAAATGATAATATACAGAAAAATGTTTTAAACAAAACTCTTTTATAGTTTCTTATATATTTTAACTGTACTCAGACTTTTCAAAAAGCTAATATTTTGAAAATACTCTTATTCCCATTAATTTTAGGGATTTGTTTCATCAGTTAAATCTGAGACTGAATATATAATAAAAATATCTCTTAGATTTTTGTATTTAGTAACATATTTCACCGAGAATCAAATCGATTCCGGACAGTTATGATAGGTCCCTTGAGTATGACTTCATCCAAACTCTAATTAATTTAATTAGCAACTAATTCAAATAATAGAATTGCTTGAAGCAAAATTTCCATATAATTCTCTGTTTTTAATTAACTTTTTATCTCATATGTATTATATATATATATATATATAAATCCTATTAAATAAAAAGAATTGATAATCAAAAGAATTGGTCCAAGTCAATCATCTATGAAAGTTAGACTAAATATATAATCAAGATTCTTAATGAGCTAGTAAATATAAAAAAAAATAATGATCGTTGTATTATCGGATAATAAAACTCGTTGCAGTTTATCCACGTTACAAAAGTAACCTCAGATAACAGTGTTTAAAATCAGGTCACAAGATGTTTTTTGCGTTTAAAAGACGACTTAAAGACGTCTTATGTCATAATTTTAGACTTTATGTTGTTTAAGAACAATTTGGCAAACAATTTTTTTAATGAGAAGATATAATCTATACAAGAAAAAAATATAATAATGTAATTCGTCATGCATGCAAAAACGAGAGAACGATATTACGTACCGGTACAGATAGACAATATCTCGGTTTTTGTAATTATTATTTACGCTCTGAAGCTCTTGGAGAAATTTTAATACATAGAAAATAATCTACCTGCTGCTTTATTTTTACATAATAGCATTCGACGTCAAGTCAGGTTGATGTTGCCACAGGTTTGTTCTTTTTAGAACATGGCACGCAAAGATCTTTAAGGTAGTACGACATAATAAGTCCAAATCTACAATAGTAGGATTTTTAAGACGTAAGAAATTAATCAATTATAGTCGAGTGCGAGGAGAATAATTGACTATCGATTCATCCATTTCTTATGGCTTAAGGTTTAAAAACCTATTGTATTGTAGATCCGGGCTAAAGAAATCAACATGTTGGATTGATTATTGTTTACGTATGGCCTTACGCACTCTACTGTAATTGGTCAATTCGTTTACTGTTTACATTTTTGTGTGTGCCATTGTGTGGCCGTAACTTATGAACTGGTGTATATCAGTTCAGAATTTGGGGTGAAAAAAGAATGAACTTCATGTTGTCTTTATGATGGCAGTGGGAAAATTAAAACTGTCACCACAGACATGCGAATAAGTTACTCAAAATTTTGCAGAAAAAGCAGCAATTAAAAACTGCATAAAAATGTCTACAGGCCTGTTCTTTTTAGCTGAACTTCTTGCATGGTATCCCTTTTCTCTGTTCTTCTTTACGGAGAAAAAAAAGAAAGAAAAATGAACTGTCAAAAGTTCAGTAAAAAGAACATACTTTATGTTAACAAATATCTTATACAACTTGTCTTCTCATTTCTTTAAATTATTTGAAGAAATTATTTGTCACCTTGACTACTTTTATCTGACAAAGAAATCCCAAATTCAGTTTGACTAATTAAAATATAATAGGTATACCAAAGCAACATGAGCATAGCTCAACATATAGAAATAATAAATAATGATGAGGGAGATTTAAATAACTAGAGGTGAAAGTTTCTGTTTCACGAAAAAATTAATGCATATAACAAGTAATTTAATACATGAAATACAAATAATAACACATTATTATATTTTATCAATATATAAATGTCTCTTGTTTTTTATCGTCTTGTACGCTAGATTTTAAAACAAAAGTTCTTTTATTTCTTATAACAAGAAGTCATTGATTTTCTCTCTCATTTTCTTTAAAGCTGCTCTTTGTTGAACGGCGAGTAACAATGGTAATGGCAAATTGTGTAAAACATCCGAATTTCGAAATATTTGTCTACAACTATAACAGAGATGTCTCCAAACGTCCTCTGTGGTTACTTGTCTCTCTCTATTGTTCTCACAATTACAGTTGACATTATCGTTACAACAACCATTATTGTCCGAGTGTGTAAAGAGGTAATTTGTTTTTCCGTTTTCTTCATTATTAGAACTTATTGTATCGATGCATTTGGAAGACATTAATTTGGAAACCTCGATCGCCCTCATGGCAGTCACTTCATTGCCAGAAGGGACAAAGTCCAATCTTGCATCACAAAGTGCACAATTATTTTCTAAACTTTGCTGTACGTTGCTCCTCGGACTTATTTTATCGGCTGTGCGGTATACGGTAGATATTGTACCAGAAAATTGAGATTCCAGTTCCATCGTGAAATTGCGTGCTAGTGCCTGTATAGAAGTTGCCGGTACACTGTCTTCTATTGATTTAACAGGATTTATCTTATGGTATTCTGAATAATATACTATTTCCTGCTGCGTAAAATCTCTCATCGGTTTGAGTATCTTAATGTCGATACATCGAGCGTCGCAAAAGTTTGCTTGCGTGGAAAGTTGCGCGCCTCGTCCTAAGCATACATCTCCAAGCACGTTCATAGCGATGTCCGCAACAGAATCAGCAACAAATATCTTGTTACAATTAAGTTTCCGAGCTGCCGATAGGAGTAATCTTCGACGCAACTGATTGAGAAAATCTGTCCTTGAGGTATCGTCCGATAAATTAGCTAATATTGCATGCAGTCGATTATCGTTTTCATAATTTATCTCTTGATCTATAGGTTTTATATCCACAGCATCCTCTTCATTTAAAACTTGACTCATTGACACAGCATAACTATTAAATCCAGAGGCCTTTGTTTCCTCAGCAATTTTATGTCGCAGTATGTCTCTTTCGTTGGTTTTTTGCATATCTATCAACATATACACATACAGAATTTTTCTCAATCTTAAAATTTCATATGATAAAAAATGCATAATCAAAAATTCAATACGATAAAATATTCTGCTAATTATACAATAATGGACTCCACTCTCCAATGAGCTTGACTTTTACATATTGAGATTCTTAATGATGATATTGAGATTCCAACAGATGTCAGGCAGCAGTTGTCCCTCAAAAAGTTATTATTAAAAGTTATTAACAATTTTTTAAATAACGTCTTATTTTTGATATATACAATATTAAGAACTATTCCATATCCTTCCCTGCGTAATGATTTTCTACACAAAGTAAGGTGTGACCGATGAATATACCTAATATTCGAATAAATGAATAAAAAATGAATGAAAATATCCATTCAAATACACTTCTTTTTTATTCATCAAGAAACGAATAAACATTTTTATTCCATTTAAATGAATATTTTTTGAATATGGTTACACAAATATTTTTATTTTAGCATTTACTTCTACATTATCTGCACATAGCTTACAAGCCTGCAAGAGAAAATAAAAATCTTTGTGTTGTATAATGTTGTTGTATAGTGTTGTGTAATAATAATGAAACCTCTATTAAAATAAAAAAGAAGTGTATTCAAATGAGTATTTTCATTCATTTTTACAATGATGCCAGATTAGCAGAATAGCACTTGTGACACAGCACAATATATAGTAACAAATTTACGATAAAAATGTCATCTCAAATAAAAATTTATTATATAAAATTATATGTTATCTCAAATGAAGACTTGAATGAATATTGATTAATTTTTTTAACGTGAAAATATTGAATAAATACAATTTGTAACTCGATTACAAAGAACTATATTCTATAGTTCTAGGATGTAGATTTTTGTGCCTTTGACACATATTTTATCTATTCTTAAATTATTTTAAGTAAAAATTACTTTTATACTGAATGGTTCTTGCTTTTGGTTCCTTCAATATGATTGGTTTATATGTTTAAATATAGATTTAAACGTATAAACCAATCATATTGAAGAATTTTTTTGAAAGTTGCAAAGCTGCTTTCTCTGCTGAACACAGTCAATATAATATGCGACAGTGCGAACAGAATCAGATGACAAATGCTGCTTTTGCAGTTAATATGTGACAAACATTTGATTGATTGTTTCCTATCTACTGCTGCATTATACACAATTATACACATTGTATCCTTCCACTATGATTTTAATGATATATCGAGGTCATCGTAGGGTAGTCTCTATTATTACATAATTATCAAAATTCTTGATTTATATAAATAGAAAACTTACCATCTACATACAAAATTACTGCCTCAAAAATAAGTCTTTTGTGAGCAGATTCGCTCATACCAGCTTTAACGAGATGTAAGAGTACGGTAGAATTTAATTCCCCTAAATGATCGATCAATATTTTGTCACCGTGGCGAATAATTTTAGATTTACCAAGCGCCGCTCTAAACTTGTGGTTTATAACATTTAGGAAACAAGTTTTGCAATAACCGCTTTGACCAAGTAATAAAATATCGGCATTTTCGCATCTGCATTTTCTGCATAGTGTCGTATTTCTGTTGAAAACAAATATTATTAATCTATACCAATAATTTATTTTTTCTTATTTATTTGTCATTATTATACTTACAACGATAAATCTTTTTTAGGTATATCATCATTGTTATCATCAAATATGCAATCGTTTAACGAACACATCTTTCCTTGTGCAATTTATTCAACAAAATATTCAGTTTTTACAGTAAATGTTAAGAGCTCGTCCACTTCAAATTTTGATAAAAATACACTAAATCCATGCGTAAAGATAGATTTGACAAGAAAAAATTATCGCTCTGATTCGTGAATTGAAATATTAATCGTTAATAAGTAAGGTTAAAAATCTATCACAGCTGCAAGATGCAGCGAAATGCTACAATACGTGTATATAGTCATATACTGCGCATAGTTTTCATTGGCAGAACTGGTGCACTCTCAGTGTACATTAAAACTGTACATTAATCTAATCTGATTGTAAAGTGAGATATCTGAATTAAATACCCATGTATATTTTATCAAATACCACAATAAAATATATTGAGGATTTCGTGTTTTAATTTCGTTTCTATATTTTTATTAAACTTACTCTTTACGTCGATTTGTGTACAACGGCTTTAAATGACACTGAGTGCGCACCAGGGTACCAATCATGAAACTTTATCTCTAGGATGGAAAATGAAAAATGAAAATTTTAATCATTGAAGTTAATAGGAAAATTTTTCACTTTTCACTTTTCATCCTAGGAAAAGTTCATGATTGATATCCAGGAGCTGGAAAGCTCCGATTGCACACATCGCATGTTGCACACATGCATCATTAATTGGCCAATTTAAAAATAAAATATTGTCATTAGTAAAGCAGTGAAAAATTTCTAGACACCAGCTGATATGGTGTGCAATTGAGATTGTAGGCAAATGAGATCCTCTCAAATCTGGACATAAAGCTAGGCTTGTAATATTCGAATCATGTGTCCCGCTAATTTCAAATCATTCGGTATACAGGTATGGATATAATAAGACAGTAAATAATATCTAATACTAAATATCATTCAATTAATAAATTATAGAATGAAGGATAATAGTGTTTGAATCAGTCAAATCAATACTATTAACGTGACCATTATATTTATTTAGATTAGAGAAGATTTGGGGGAGTCCGTAGCCGCGCGAGTGGAAACTTAACTGGACTACATTTCTCTCTAATTATTAAGACTTAAAATAGAATAGAATATTTATTCGCTTCAGCATATTTACAAATCAAGAAGAAGACTTGGTTTACAATTCTCCTTAACTTACTCATTTATCGATCTATATCTTTCACACTTTCTTATTTTTGCTCATTCTTCTTATCCTTATAATCAACTATCAGGGCCCCTATTATTAAAAAGAAACGCATACAAAAAATTAGAAAAATATTATAATATACGTTACGTGTACTATAATATTTCCTTAGTTTTTCATAAATTCGCCCCATTTCACAACTCACGATTAACTCTTAATCGAGGTTCAACTTATTCATTGTTTCTTTCCAATTCTAGAATTGGAAAGAGATGAGAAATAAGTTATTTCTTTAATTATTTTTTATGTTTTCACATTACTATTATTATTTTCATTACAGAGAAAAATTTTTTTTTATTTTTTTTAGACATCGTAAAACAATCAAGATGCATCAAGATTTACCGATTAAATACTCAAAAGCGGTAGATCCCGAACAGGATGAAACAGAGGAAATGAGGGAGCAGGAACAAGAACTTGTAATTCCCTTACCTGATAACATATGGGATATTATCTGGGAAGAAACAGGAATTATTGGAACAAGAGTGGGGACAACGGACGGCATCCCTGCAGGTGCTGAGGAGGAATCGGATTTCGTCTTCGAGTCGGAAGAAGAGATCATGGACGTTTTCGAAGAGGTCAAGGACTTGCTTTTAAACTTCGATGAAGTCAACCTCGGTGAGAACAAGAGATAAAGGATGATGAGAAGGATGTTAAGGAAGAGAAGAAAGAGAAGGAGAAAGAAGAGACTGACTGAATATCAGCAATAAATTTTTTAAATAATAAATATATAAAAAAGCAAAGAAGCCACGCTATGTTCGTATCTATATAATGTTCGTATCTATATAATATTTATATGTTTATCCTAAGATAGCAATAATGCAAAAATACATACAGACGTAAATTGATATCGCACAGATTGATATCGGATACTTTCCGGATATCCTGCTGTATCTCTAAAAATTATAATATATTTTCAATTATAACCGAATTGTCTGTCATAAATTATACTACGCTTCTCAGACGACTCCTCTAGTTTGTGGTTCTCGCCAACCGCCAAATTTTCTTTCGATTTCTTGCGCAACAGCAATCGTCAAATGGTCACAACCAGGATTCGCGACAATCTACAAAAATAAAGTTAAAACTAATTAAATGTAAATGATTCATCAATTCTTACAAAAAATTCTGAATTTACAAATTCAAAATTTTAAATAAATTAAAAATCAGTATAATCTGGACACAGTATAACAATATTTAAGTATTTTAATCATATAGTAATAGAAACAAGAAAACAAAATTCTATCTATATATTTATGCATCTTTATATTTTGCATCTTTCGGTATTCATAGTCTTTTCTTTTTCAAGATCTTATATAAATTATCTTGAGATGCTAATACAGCCATGTAATTGTTTCAGAACATTTTAAGATTATAAACGGTCTTAAATATAAGAATCAATTATGAATATCGGTTTATATCGTTTCCATAGTTTCGATTACGTGATCACTATACTAAGTTTTTTGATTCTTAAATAAATAAGCTAATCAATTTTTAATTATGAATAATTAAACAGCGACGGCTTTATTTATTATTTTTTTACCTGAACTCCAATTGGTAGCTGGTTTTTATCGAAGCCAAGAGGACACTGCGTGACCGGAAATCCCAGTACATTGAAAATCATCATAAATGTGATATTAGATATATTGTATAAACACTCGTGAGGATAATATGCCGACGAGGTAAAAGATGGACAAATTAATACACCATCATTACTCAGCAGCGCCTAAGCAAATTATGAACGTTATTATAATATTAACATAATCGAATATAAGATATGTTAAACAGACAAAAGTTAAAAAAATATAATATATACAAAGGGGAAGGAGGTATCTGATAAAACTAGTTTTGACAAAACGCTTATGTGTGGATAGAATGGACTAAACTGATCGAAAAGTCCTCTACCTATTGCAATGTTCGCATTAACAGGATATTAATTAGGATAATAACAAGATACAGTTAACAGGATATTAATTACTAAAAATTGCTGAATATCGTCTTCAATAATTTTTTACTCAAATTCTCTCAATTTTACGGAAAACCAGTAAGAGACAAAAATTGTTTATTTACTTTTCATAAACTTCTAAAAATTTTTTCAAAATTTTTTAATACCATATTTTCTCGTGTTAAGGTGAAAATAATTGCCAATATAAGAACGAAAAAGTTGATAAAAAATTCTTAGAGATCTATGAGAAGAAAATATAAATGCATTTTACTACAATTACTGTGTCAATTCGTTTGGGCATATCCTGGCGGAAAAAAAAATTTTTACGAAAAACAGAAAAACTACAGACAGATTGAGACAAGATCTTAAAAATTCTTAGTTTTTCGTAGATATTTGTAGTGGGATATAGAACGTTGTTTGAGGGCCGAAGATTGCTAGGTTCTTCAAAGAAACGAGAAACCATGCTGCTCTATGTCCCGTTACTACGAATGTATTTAAAAAATTAATAATTTCTAAGATCTTGTCTCAATCTATGTAGTTTTTCGTAAATCTTTCTCATCAGAGTACTTTCTTCATTTTAAGTAATTTATTTTGAATACTTCACTCCTATGACACATTAATCAAATGCACAATTAATTGACGTTTGTTAGTGATATATTGCTTGGAAATTTCTCTTTTCATTAATTCTCGATAGGATTGACAAAGGTTCGACTACGCCAACATTACTTTGAGTTTAAGCGAGGCTTAAAACTCTCTGTCTCGTTTTAAAGCGAAAGAGAAACAGAGTAATGTTAGTGCAACCGGGCCTAAATAATGTATATATGAGAGAAAGTGCTATTTATAATGATACCAAGGATATATTTAAAATGTGTAAACATCAATATTTCATTAAAAGCATAATAATAATACAATATCGTTATATGTACATTTAACTTTAAAAATTAATTGCAGCTTTAACATAAAATCATTAATTTATGCAAGTGGTTCTAATAATTTGATTATCCATTGTAGACACTCTACCTCTAATTGTTTTCTCAATCGCGTCCTTAGTTCTATCATTTCGTTATAAGTGCTGACTGGGAAATTTTCGACAATATTCTTGAATAGTCCGAAAAAAATAGCAGGAAAAGTATGCGATGACATAAACGAAATATATCTTAGTATTTCCATAAACAAGCTCTTCGATTTCTGAAAAATTATGAAATATGTATCTGTGACATATCTTAACAATGAATCTCATTATTTAACTGTACCTTAGGATTATCCCAACGATTAAACATTGAATATACGTCTTTGATACTGAGAAGAATAATCGAGCTCATTTCAAAAGATCGTTTCATATCTTTAAAATTTACCTGCAAATAATTAAAGAAATAAATATGATATATGATTTATATATCTATATATTTGTATTTATCTATATTTGTATTTGTATTTATCTATATTTGCCTCCTGAGGTAATATTGCTTGCAATAACTTCTTTACAAATTTTTCTAATTTTATTTAATTTAGGATAGATTATTAATGTTTCAGATTGATTGTATTAAAAGTTGCAATCATGTCCGAAAATTATATAAATTTAATAAGAAATAATAATAATGTAATATTTGAAACATCCAACTTTAACCGTAATTGACTGTCTTATATTATAATTTGATTTATTTATATAAACGATCTTGTTTTCAAAGTCTTAGCATTATTTATCTATATAAATATTGTTATTTTTTTTAAATTAAAATTTTAATCTTTTAAATAGAATGAAATCTATACATCTACAGGGTTGGCCATATTCGACGAAAAGATGTTTTTTTTTTCAATCATGGGAAACGTCGTTACTCGATCTAACATCTCTGTCAAAAGTTACAGTGTTTGCCAGATCTTTCCGTCGAATATGGCCAACCTGTATATATAATATTAAATTTTCAGTGTATTTATATAATTTAAATACATTTTATTGTATATATTATTTTTAATTAAGTATCGGAAAAAATTTAAATTATTACTGTGTTATACTACACATATAAAAAAATAGTATCTATTTTGCCTACCAATTTAATCTTTCTGATAACAAATTAAGAGATAATTTATAATATAAACATAATTCTGACATACTTTTTCCACTCTAGCACCGCTTATTACTTCTAGATGTCTCTTCAATTTGTAAATTACATTTTGTACATCAGTTGTAATTGAATCTGGAATCGGGCCACAATTATCCATATAAAAATATTTTATATCGCTCAGATTCACCTGTATGAATATGCAAACCTTGCATAAATAAGCATTATAAAATAAGCATTATAATGTTCATTTATATTAACTTTATTGATCATTTATATCAATTTCATCAGTTAATTTCTTTAATACTAATACTTTATTACATTTAATTAATATTTTTAGAGAAAACGAAGTATATACATATATAGAAGCAGTAGTTTATAAAATTAAAAAAATTTCGACCTTTTTATTAAAAGTAATTCTGGCTTCATCCGATTGTGATATCACTGTTAATAACAGAGGCAGATCTGTAGCGTATCTGACCATTGAACCGATTGAGAAAAATGTAGACCAATTTTCATCATTTGCGCTAGGTTTGTGACCTTCTATTGATATCCAGTCTAAAATATAAAATTATTTTATTTATTGTATGTTAGTTTATATTGTTTTATAAACAAGTATACAAAATTAAAATTTTGCATTAATTGATTGTTCTTTTTCTCCGTTATTGATTGATGAAAACTTACTTGGTGTAGGTTTATGGCCAAAAATGCCACAAAACATTGCCGGGAGCCTAACAGATCCACCGATGTCTGAAGCCAGACCTAGAATCGAAGCACCAGAGCCCAGAAGAGCAGCCTAATTAAATATAATGTTGAACTATTTATATATATATAATTTATATATAAGGTTTATTTATATAAGAATTTTTAACTTTTACGAATTTTTGTAATAAGAATTTTTAATTATAAAAGAACCGCGTTATTTGTATAGAAGAAATATACCTCGCCACCGGAAGAGCCACCAGCGGTCCTCCGTGTATCATAGGGATTCCTAGTGATGCCAGTTATATTGTTAAATGTATGCCACCACATACACAATTCTGGAGTGTTACTGACAAGAAGAGGAATCCCACCGGCCTTGCGAATCCTCTTTACAACGTCGGCGTCTTCTGTCGCTCTCAAGGAAACATCTTTCATTCCCACAGAATAACTCATTCCTAAATAAGTCTTATATTTTGAACATATACATATATTACATGCTAGTATAAATAAGAATGTTAAAAAGAGGTCAATAATGTTTTTTTTTATTCAGATTTCAATCTCCCTTTTTCAATAATAATGGAAATCTTGATAATTTCTCTATAACTCTTCAATACAATTCCTGGGAAAACGGGTAGATGAGAGTATAACGTAGTTGTTGGAGCGTGATCAGAAAATAATGTCAGTGCAGATCTTGATAGCGTGTATTTCTATAAAGATGAACGTTTCGATTCTTTTTAGAGTCATCATCGTTAATACAGTTCTTAGAACATATGCGACATCACTCATGAATAGCAGCCACTATAGAATTGAAAGATCCAAAGTGAAGTGCATGAATTTCTTCTCGTTATTACTCTCATTTGCCCGTTTTCCTAAAAACTCTCTTTTTCATATTATGTATTTGTAAAAATTATGCAAAGGTATGATAAATTTTCATCTCAGAGAACTCAGAAATTAAAAAATTTTTACATTAATTTTTGATACACAAGTTCCTGACACTTGTGATGAGTAGGAGAATTAAAATCAATTCATTATTTGCTACTTAAAATAATATATGCAAAGTACCTGAGTATTTTTCTGGAAGTCTAAAGATCTCTGTGGAATCAATTTTTAATTTATTTAAAATTTAAATACGTCAATACGCCACGTTGGACATAGTAATCAGTATATGAAATGGTAAAACGATGTCTAACGCAATAACATATATTACGTCAAGAAACAATTCTTAGAAAATTCTAAGAAAAATTTATCTATTAGGATGAGTTAACTGATAGGAAAACATTTCCATTAAACCGTGTGAATTACCGTCGTAAGTATATGTGCTAACAATGAATTCAAAGTAATTCAAATTAGAGATAAAAGAAAAGAAACATAAGAAAAGCTAGCGACCTTAATATTTCACGTTTAATATAATTCTATAAGTTCTATAGAATTATTAATTATTGTTTCCATTTTCTTATTTTTATTTTCTTATAAAGAGTTTTGTACGTGTGTGATATCCGTACGTGTGTAATGTTTATTAGCATCAATCGTAAAATTGGAATGCAAAAATACAAGACGTGCTGAGACTATTGAGCGTTGTGTACTTTGAAATTTGCTCGGATAACAAATGTGAACCTGTGTAAGTTTAATAGTTTTGACAAACATCGATCAAATATAAAATTTAGCACAATTCATGTTATTACATAAAATTTCATTGTAGTTAATTCCACAAGCAAAAAAAAAAGTAAATATATCGATTTAATAAAATAAAGTTTATATATATAGTTTATATATACAGGATGTGTCATAAGTTTAGAAACAGTCGAATATCTCGAAAGCAAAGCATTTTTAAGAAAAATGTTTTAGACAAAAGTTGTAGGGCTTAAAAAGATCTATTCACTGATCATATCCGCTTGACCTTGAGTAGTAGTCGTCAAGATCAGATCAAGGTCAAACTAATTTTTTAAAATAAAACATCCTATGTTTGATGCCAGAATTTAATAACTGGTGTTAACAGGTTTCAAAACACTGTAATAAAGTTATTTTTCATTAAGTATTTTTCTAATTATAAGGTTTGAAAGTACCGCTGGTATTAGCATTACATAAGGTATCCGATCGACGGCTAAAACCTCTTGAATATTGCTTAGGATAATGTCTTGGATAAACAATTGTCAAGATTAAAGTCATTGGAGGTTGTATTTCTTATTTTTATTTTTACGTAAAAATGAATTCTTAGTGCAAAGTATATGCATGCCTGTATGTATTCAAATCGTGGAAAAATGAAAGTAACTTACCTTGAACAGCAATACTTTCTTTAATTGTGATAGGTAACCCGAGTAACGGTTTCTCGTTCGCAATTTTGGTCTCGTCTATTATTGTTGATTGTAGGAAATTATCGATTTCACGTGCCTCTTGAATTGCCGCATCGAAACGATCTTCTACAATAGCATTGATCAACGGATTCACTTTCTTGCATCGCTCCACATACGTGACGATTACTTCCTCGGAGCTAATCTGCCAAAAATTAATAAGTTATTAACTTTGAATAATTTTGATTCAATTATATTCAAGTGATTTTTCAGTGCATGCATCAATTTAGTAATAATATATTGCCTTCTAAGATGATAAAATCTTTCGAGTCTAATCAACAGAGTGATAGTAAACTTACTTCTCTTTTACGGATTTTCTGGGCAATTTCTGTCGCCGACAGTAGTAAAATTTGATTTTCGATCGGTGGACATCGCAGTCTTTTCTTCAAACCTTGCAATTTGAAGAAAGGCCCGAGCAAACAACGTAGAAAAAAAAAAAAGTACTTTATGACTCTCATCGTTTAAATCTTCTATATATAGAACGATATAACTGTTCTGACAATTTTTTTTATATCGTTAAGACGCAAATCATTAAGACAAAATCTGAATTTATAATCTTCCCATAATATCAATTATTCTTATTGCTTAAAAAAATCTTTATTTTTTTTATTTACGTATTTCTCTTTAAAGATTTCGAATTTCTCAGCTTTGCAATTTTAAGATTTATAATCACATTGGTGTGCGTTCCACGCAGGTTAAAGATTTCGAATGTCCTAAATAAAGAGGAAAGTTTTATTTTTAGGTCACGAAATATTACACATGCATTTTATATTATTAACTTAAACTCACACTGAATGAACAAAACAAAGATCACTGCAGAGAATGTTTAATAATAAATGGAAACTCCATAACGCATTCTATCACGTTATTGTGATTTATCTCACTTGATTGTTTCTAATTAATCCATCGATGTTATCATAAGTCTCACTGACTGCCAAAACACGCTTGTGATAATTACAGGAAATGTGTGACTGGAATTACAAAATTTTTAATTTATGCATTTAATTTAACATTACTTAAAGTCGAATCATCAACAGAGGAAATATCTTTAAGATGTTCTAACAATAAAAAAAGGAAGATCGCGATAGTTGCCTCAATTTCTTAAAGTATAACTTCAATATTAATTATTGAATTTAGTGAGAAATTCTCTCAAACTTTTTCAATAATTAAGCAAAAAAAAAATAAAATAAGGATATTCGAAATATTGTTAATATTTAATATTTTGAGGAGTACAATATAACTACAATTAACGTGGTTTTGATATAAAAGATAAATATTTCTAAATCAATTTGTTCGATTACAAGATCGTCGCTAATACAATGTTTCGTCATTTGTTCACAAAACTTTTCTAAAAGGCAATGAAAATGGACGTGTGAAATATATTGCTTAATTTAACACCGACGTGAAATATCGCGAAGTATTACTAACAGAAACTGTGTGTTCATTACACTGAGCCGATATTAGTTTTATGAAAGATGCAATCACTTATGTTAATCCTATGTACGGATGTCTAACGCAATACTTTGTAAATACTTCCTCGAGGTTCTAGGTTGCATCCCACATGATTCATCGTTAAAAAGACAACGAAGCGCAGTTCGTGAATTTTATTTATGAGACTATCCTAATTTTTTGTTTTATAAGCGAATCGAATATACTGATTATTTTAAATTGAAAAAATCGATTTATAAAAATTGATATTCAATTGAAGCAAAATACATATATTTTTATGATTAAAATACATTCGAAAGTCTTCTTGCGTCATGAATATAAAATCAATTTAGTTAAATCAGTTTTAATTAATTTTATATTTACAAAATTAACATTTTCAAAAACGATTATCTCAAATTAATAAAATTTTAAATGTTTCATCGATAAAATCGATAAAAATCGATTTTATATTCATGACGCAAGAAGACTCGAATGTATTTTAATCACAAAAATATATGTATTTTGCTTCAATTGAATATCAATTTTTCGAGATACGTTAATTTAAAAATAGCTTTTTTTTCATGTATATAATCAGGGTTGGGTAAGTTAACTTTTTTTTTATCAAATTAAATTAACAGTCTTGAAAATTTAACTTAGTTAAGATAAAAATTAATCTATAATGAATTAAATGAATTTATTTATAATTGAATTAAAAGTTAAGTTAATGAAAAAAAGTAATTGAAAAATTAAAAGTTAAATTTGTTTTATTTCATGATTTTCGAGTTAACTATTTTTTAACTAAATTAAAAAACTAAGTTAAGTTAACAAATTAATTTTTTAAATTAACAAATAGGTTCAATAAATAAATGCCCCTATAAATAAATATCTCTATAAATAAATATTTCTAGTAAATATTTTTTACTTGAATTAGATATAATTTTATTAAGTATTTTCATAGCATTTACTATCTAGCAAACAAGAATGGATTGAAATGGATTAAAATGGATTCAGATTTTCAGAAATACGGATTCATGAATGTTAAAATGAATCCTTTCCAATCCTGAATGCATTTTTATTCATTTATAGGAATTACATGAAACAAATGTCTATTTCTTTTCAATCTTACATGCATTTTTATAGGAATAGCATGGAGTATATTTCTATGCTTTTCAATTTAAAAATAATGTTATAGTATTTTGTATGGTGTGGCATCGTGAATACTTAATTAAAAATTCTGAGTAAGAATTAGAGCAAGAAATGCAGTTTTGCAATCCAATTAAATTTAAAAATAATATCGGCCATTTCTGCGCATCATGAATACTGCTTTATTCAAAATTCTAAATAGCAGAAATGCAGTTCCTTAATCCAATTGAATAAAAAAAATTTTTCTTTTAATGGCTCATTTTCTTAAAATATTTTTTGTATAAAAGTTTTAAAATAATAACTATAGAATTTCATGTAATTATTGCTTTAATTTATTTAAACTTTTACATGTATAAAAATTTTTTATATAGAATTCAATTCATTTTTATAGAAATATGGATTCGGATGGATTGAAAATTTCCAATCCATTTAAATCCATTTTCGTTTGCTGGGTATAACATTTACAATAAATATTTCAAAATATTTGTAATAAATGTTTATAATCTGTGCAATCTAAGACGACAAAAATATACAAAATATTTAAAACAAGTCATAAATATTATGTGCTGGCTGAGTATTATGTCAAAATTTTAATGATTTATTAAATTATTGTAGTAATATAGAATTTCTTGAGTTTATTAATTTTTAATATTCACATAACTATAACAGATCTTTTGTATGTGTATGTAACAAAGAAAATTAATTTGATTGTATAGCATTCCCATTTATGACATTATTTTTCATTCTATAAATCTATTTAAGTTTCGACAGAAGTTATTATTTTATCTCGCAACAATGATAATACACTGTCAATACTGTTGTCATCAATACTGTTGTTAAAACATACATAATTTCAGTTTTTGAGAATTTAATAATTTTCTTCTCATTTTGGGTCTATTATGTGCCCAAAATAAATTTTCGATTTTTTGACGTGAGATTTCTTTACAAAATCGTTTTTTTTAAATATTTCTAAGATTTTTTGTTATTCAGTTAAAAATCACTGTACCACAATTTAAAAAAAAAACAGATTTTTATAGCTGAAACTTTGCTCTATCGAGTATGACCGCCAATTTTTTTTAAGAAATATATAGACATCTCACATAAATGGATTGAATAGTAAACTTTTATTCTACTCCAATATTTTTTAATTTAAAATTTTTTGATATTTTATGAATATGATAAGCACAATGCAATAATATAATTATTTTTATCTCATATATTCTACGTCATAACTTTTGCGATTGTGATTATTTTAAATAAATCAAATTTCACACTGACATCCGTTGGTTCATACAATAATTGGCATTATTTTATTATATTAATAAATATAAATAAGAATATTGAGATAAAGTTTAATTTAATTACCTTACTTGTTTGTATGAATTTTTAGAAAAATACACTGGAACATTACGCGTTGAAGAATCTTGTTGAGATGATGTTGATTAGATTCACAGCTTCCAAACTGAGCAAGCAATATCCAAGTGCAGTCATAGTCCACGACTATTCATGTTTGACTGATTCTTATTTCACATACGAAAAGAGACAGCCGGCAAACGAGTTTAAAGAAGTGATAAGTGGGGCGAACAAAATGTGGAATATACGTTTTAATTTACTTTTTTGCATAGATATCATCAATTTTTTGCAAAATGTATGTATTCTTCTAATTTAAATTTTACAGACATTTATTACGATTTTTTATTTTCTCTCTGTTAAGTTTTTGTAACCTATTCGCATTATGTGACTTTTTATCTCATATATTTGATCATGTACGTCATAATTTTTTTTCGATTATTTAAATAAATAATCGAAATAATTTAAATAAATAAATAATATATGAATAAATTTCACGCTATATGTATATCTTAACATTGAGACTCGACTGAGTCATCTAATAATATTCAAAATGTCAAGGTCTACAAAAAACAAACAATTCTGTTGAATATAACTAATCTGTGCTTCGCGGGTTTTCTCCATGTCTTGGTCCATTCTTGATGTGCCAACGTTTCGTGGGCCTTGCAGTCCACTTCATCAGGGCGAGGAGAGTATCAGACGCGAAGCACAGATTAGTTATATAAAAAGCACCCATGGAAGCATCAAGAAGATAATTCTGTTGAATGTAGATAGACACATATATCTAAAATAATTTTATTAGATCATCAAAATAATTATGTAGAATTGAGTCTCAAACATAGTGAGCAATGTTGCAAAAAGTTTTAGCAACAGAAAGATATTATGACAACTAATTTGGACGTTCTAGATAATTATTTTGATGGCCCAACAAAATTGTTTTCAGATTTGCATCTAGATACATTTTTAGATAATTCAGTAAAATCGTTCTTTCCATGTATAAAAAAAAACTTGTTCAATACACGCTATATCATTACTGAATTACTAAATAATTTATGTTATATAATTTATTTATTATATTAAACAACTGGCCTACGTATTACACTTATTACAGAATCGAACCTTGTTTTGTATGAACGTAGTATGATGTGTTTTCGTTACCTCGACAATTGAGATATCATAATATTTGGAGAAGAGGAATTTGAACGAAATAAAAAGTGTCGAATTCTGAACTCTCTGAAAATAATTTACAAGAAAATCAGTTACAAGAAAAAGAAAGTAGATATGAATGCAACATTTCAAGAACTATTTCATCTAAATACTTTTTTCGATTTTCGAATGCAAAAATTTATTTTATTTAAAAAATAATTGTACGATTTGTAAGTATTCTTACATTAAAGAAACGACTGAGTTGTCTTATAAAATTTACAAATACAAAAGTCTTAATAATCATAAATTAAATATTCTTAAACAATAAGAATCTTATTTTAGATCATATATACGAGATTTTTTATTTTATAAACCAATTTTTTATAAACCATTTCTTTGTGCGATTATATATATTGTGGAATAAATATTTCAAAGTGTTTAAAGTATCGATTTTTTAAATTTAAAAATTCATAGAATATAAAAAAGTACAGAATATCACGAAAAGAATTTTACTTTGCAAATTTATATTCAAGTTTTGTTACATGTTTGTGGATTCTATTAGTTAATTTCATTTTTACCTATAATTTCGAAACGCTTTGTATACACAAAAAAAAAGAAAGCAAATAAAACTTACAGTGATAATAGAAGGACTAAACAAAAATTAAAATAAACTATATAGCATCTTCCATTGAGTGTTATACGTGGTGTCTTTTTTATTATGTTGAGGAGCCAAAAAATACGCCTTCACTTTTTAAAATGGAATTTTTTAATTTTTTCACATAATACGTTCTCCTAATTAGTCTGCGCATAAAAGTAGGGAAATCAATAAATTAATAATTTAGATAATACATAATTCATTTATTTTTTTTTATTCCTTTTTAGATATTTTATATTTCATATCACAATTTTTTTATATTTGAGATATTTTATATTTCGTATCACAATTTGCCAGAATAAAGTATAAAATATCCTGTAAACTATTTGATTTTTCAATATCTCTACTTTGGTATATTTTTATGTGTGCAGAATATTTAGAGGGATCATACCACGTGAAAAAAAATTACCTATATAATCCCGTTTAAGAGACTGAAGGTGATCTTTACTTTTTTTTTTGGTACCTTTACCTTTAAAGAAAACAACGTAACCGAAATCAGGATTGGGGAAAGTTACTTTATAAAAATAACTAATTATAATTTTTTTCTTTCAAAAGTAACTAGTTACAATTCCAAGATACCGAGACCAAAAATTAATTCGTTACAATTACAGTTACTAAAAAGTACCTTTTAAAAGTAACTTTTCAGTTACTTTCTTTTTGTTATCATGATAGAAAAATATGAGTGACATCGATATCATTAGCGCTAAGAAAAAAAAATTATGTTTACAATTTACTGATCAATCAAAAAATATTCATATCCTTAATCAGTATTCAGATTTTAATCAATCACATTACATTGACAAATAAGTTTAAAATGTAAAGTAACTGTAAAAATAACTGTTAATTAGTTATTTATAGTTATTGGAAGAAATGTAACTAACAATAAGTTAAGTTACAGTTACTGAAAAAAGATAACTGTAAAAAGATAATTGTACTTTACAAGTAACTAGTTACTTCCCAATCTTGACCAAAATACATTCATGAATAACAGACGACAATATCAAATGATAACATAATTCAACATAACTTGTTAAATGCGATTATTCCATTTTTTCATTACTGTTTTTTTGTTACCATTTTTTTATTTCTTTTGATTCTGATATATCCGAGGAATTTGAATCGAAACGTATTATGTACCGTACGTTTTATATAAGCACTGACTAATGAGCATTAAATAATTCATTTATATAATTTTAAATATATGCGCATTGTATTCCGCGCTGACTCCAAAGCCTTTTGTTACTTATACTTTGAACTTATATTTTAATTTCGAGGACTCCGTTAATTGTTGTCACAAAATAAATTCTTCTTGAAACCATTTCATTTTTCATTTGAAATATTTTTTTGCATCATCAATAATTTTGGAGAAAACTGACTATTTAAAATAAAATAAGACAACCTATATAAATTTCTGGAAATTGACAGAAACAAAAATAATTATATAAAGAGGAATTAATTTTTATTTTTCTCATAACTATAGTAAGTATATATAAATGTGATTTATACTGTTTATAATAAGGAGAGAGAGGGAAGGAGAGGGAGGGAAGGAATGAAAGGAAGAGGAGGGAGAGAGAGAGAGAGAGAGAGAGAGAGAGAGAGAGAGAGAGAGAGAGAAGTGAATACAATCGGAACGATATTTATTACAGAAAGATTACAAGATTATATTCAGGACTATAAACATTTTAGACGCGGTCCATGCGCCGTGATTAGGACGCCGGAGTTTTCCTGTTTAATGTGAAAAATATTATTTACATTGCACATATATCACTAGCGTTACTATCAAACGAGCGAACAGTTGGTCGCTGAGAACTCTCCGCGAAAAGGCCGTTCCGAACGAAGAGAATACAACTCATCTCAACACGATCGTCTTCTCCATAAAGAAATGATCTCAAAAGGACTTCTAACATAAATATGGTCCCTCTACCCGACGCGATCGAGTTATTATTTATCATTCGTATTCACAATTCAACTGATCAGATTATCAGGACCATCGAAGTCTCTAGAAATCTCGCGTTGCGTTCGTTCATCCTCAACAGATTACTTAGCATATGTAATTTTAACTAAAAGAGCCGAAGATGAGGAACAATCTTGAAAGACAAGCGTCTTTCTCCTTTGAGATGTTCAGCTAAGAATTGAAAATTTCCTCGAAAACTTACTTTCTTCATATCTAATAGAGATCTATAAAAGTTACAGAACTTGCGAATACTCGAGAAACTTATCCTCATCAGTACAGTTCTTTCGGCGTAAAGTTTTAATCTTTTGCTAATCTTTCGTGCGCGTAACATTTTAAAATAACTTTAAACATTTTCGCAGAATATCAGCTTTTTTTCGCACGACCGTGTCGGACAATGTCGCGTTTGAGGCACTCGCGCCGCGGAAAGTCGCTCAAG